GAATACAATATCAATAATACAAGACTATCTATTAGTTTCTGTACTAAGAGAATTCTAATATTAAGAAGATTGCAGAGTTCAAACCTAAGTTGGGGCAAAGGGAAAAGGGAGGGTTTATATATCTTTTTAGAAAAGTAAAAAAGTAAGAAAAGTAAGAAAAGTAAGAAAAGTAATTTATCCTAATATTGTTCCTAAGATAACTCAATAACTATGTATCTGTTTCTTATAATTTATAGCTTGTTTGAAAGGTCTAATCGAGCTGAATCTAATGGTAAAATCTAATTCTAACTTTAGCTAATAAGTTATTAAGAAAAACAATAATAACTAAATCTAATAATATAAAATATAATAATTAAGTAAAATGCTAAAACCTATTTTATAACAATACAAACTACGTATTGTCTAATAATAAACTAAAACATAATTTCGACTTATTAATATATATTACTGTAAAGATTACAATTTATTAAAGATCTATATTATTAAACTTTGACATTAATAGAAGTAATTTTTTCAAAGACAACAGGAACATCATGTGTCAAAAAATATAAATTTCTATTCTCCCATTCCATTATTTCAACAATTGCTGATTTGTGTATATCTTCTTTCCTCCATCCTTTAAAGTTTTTTGAAAAAAGTGTATAACATGTTGGTGATTTTTCTTTTCAATCGCAGAACAGGAAAAACCATGTATCCTAAAATTTGAATGAATATCAAAAAACTCTAGAATATGATAAACCAAAGTATGAATATAGGGAGTAATATTGTTTGGTCAATAAAGTTCTTGAATGAAGCTTTGTGGATGATTCAGATTACCTAAGTTAAAATAAAAAGATATAAGTTTTATTATTAATAAAACTTAAAAAGAATTAGAATTACCCAAAGATGGAGTTAGAAATAAATTTATCCAATCTAATACTTTTTTTTTGAATTTAACACCATCTATACGTTGTTTATGTATGTCTTTATAAAGTTCATTAAAACTATTCCATAATTGTCAAATTAACTGAGCATGATGTTTATCTAAAAATAACAAATCTAAATTGAAATTTCATAATACTTTTAGCTTGTCTACTCCTGTTAAAGATATTGATGTCTATATTTTTGTGTTTGGATTTTCCTACCAATTAAAGTGAATATGAATTTGCAACATTTCTTGGCTAATTATAGTACAAACTTTAGAATTATTTTTAGTACCAATTTCTAAAACTAAAAGTAACTATAACTGATCTGTTATTCGTAACATCACATAGAGTTTGTCAACAACCTAATGAGTTAGAGAAATCATAGAAAATAAAGGTTTACTTTTATGACCAGATAATTTGGAATAATTAAGATTAATATCCTCTATATGTTTAGATATAGTTCAGTCATATATCATAATTCTATTTTGTTTTTTTTTAATTAAGCACCAAAGGCAAAAATCTTCTGCATTAGCTGCTTTATGTCCCAAACAAATTACTAAAAATTTCTAGTCAGCTAAAAAATATAAACATATATTCTAATAATATTCTTCATTATTCAAATAACTAGATTGAATCTCACTTAACTCCTGAATTAATGGTGCTAATACAATTGCCAAAGTCTCATAGTTTTCAATACCTAGATATATTAAAAGAGTATAATGCTTTTCAGAATAATAAATGGTATTTAAATCATTAAGTAGTATAAATATAACTATTACGTATTTTATTTTTTTTCCAACATTATGGCCATCTTCTGAAATTCTGATATGTAAAGTTGGATCTGATAATTAAAGAATTCCTTTTTGAATTAAAGAAGGAATAATATATGCTAAAATGTCTTTTAATGACCTATACACTACCTTTCTTGTTGATTTTGTAACTTCTTCAACAATTTCAGTATCATCAATATCTATTACTATATTTTTATTTGTTTCTAAATTAATTTTTTGTAAAATACTTAAATTGATATTAATATTTTGAATTGGAACTGTTTGTTACATCTGATCGTCAATCTATTGTTTTGTTTTGGAAACTACCTATTCTCTAAGTAAATCTTGTTGGATTCCTGTAATAGCTCGATATACATTTTGAGAAATATGTTCTTTATCTATTGTATATACAATAGCCAGTTTTTTTTAGATTTTCATTGTTTAGCTGATTATATGTAACTCAAAATTGTTGATTATTTGCTGAAAATGTTACTTTATTTAAAACTACTTTATCATTTGAATGAAATGCTGATTGTATTTCATTGTGAAATGTTGTTGAAAAAGAAGTTGCTATGTTTTTATATCATTTGTATTTCATTAACTTGCTTAGATCTTGAAAAGGTTTAATTTTTTTCCTGTATATTGTCTTTTTTTTGAGGAAGTCATTTAGTTGCTTGACTATAATCATTATTTGTAATATAATCTGGGTCATTGTCTGTAAACTTTATACATCTATGATATATTTTGGAAGTTGAGTCAAGTTCTAATACTTTACAAAATCGAATGGTAAATTAATAAGTGTATCCTTTGTTTTTGTTTGCTCTTTTTTTTTATTTGTTGCTTATATATATTATGTTTTGGATGAGCATAGTATTCATTTAATTTTGTTTGATGTATTTGATAATGAGTTTTATTAACAATTTCTCGATTATAATATATCTGACAGAGATATTGTCCTTCTAATTTTTGATGTTGCTCTTCAGAAATTGGCGTTAAAGAGCTAATTGCTCTTAAAATTCCTTTACATAATGGTTCTTCTTCTGAAAATATATTAAAATAGCATTAACGTGCTGTTGATGTTAGAGTTGTTAGTTGATCCTCCATATTTTTTTATTTCAAAAACAATTTGAGACATACGTGCTGATCTGCTAAATTGATCTTTTATATAAATCAGATATTTGGCAATACGGCTGCACAGATCTTTTAAATAAAATTTTTTTTTTAAATAAAATTCTTTTTAACTAAATTTTTTTTTTTATCTAAAATTTTTCTATTCTAAATATTTTTTTTTCAAAAAAGTTTTTTTTTAATTCAAGCAGTAGCAAAGGTGTAAATTAATTTTGGAATTTAAATCTTTTACTAAATAAAAATTAAAGTTTGTCTATTGTAGTAACGAACTAATAGAGAACCTAATATAAATTTAAAATTACTAACAATTTTCTTATTTAATATCATCTTTAAGATTATAGCTAAAGTACACGTATATTATTTGTTATTAGAGATATAATGAGTTTGCTAATTTTTTCCAATTTTCTATTAAACATAAAAATCCTATTTTCAATTAAGTGAAATAGATTACAATAATATTAAGATCAAATAAGACAACTCACCTTTTTACTCCAATTTTGATAACAGTAATTAAAATTATATTTTTTTGGTTTAAAATTATGATATGGATCTGACAAAATTTATAACTATTAGAAGGTCTTTACTTAGTTGATATCTTTAATATAATGATTCTAAAACTATAAATATTATAAATCATTTTTATCTTGCTATGTATTTGACAGTTTTTCAAACATTTTCTTTAATGGGATTTGCTATTAATCGAGATATTATTTATTCATTGCGATTAATTAAAGTGTCTATAATTATTTACTAAAAATTTATATAAAATATAGATTTAAAAAAAGAGTAGTTTGCTTTACTTTTTTTTGATTAACTTACTTAGCTACCAACTAATTAAGGATTTGCTTCCGATCTATTGAGCAAGATACTTGAAAATCCTTAAGACATTAATACCATGCAACAAATTAAAGGTTATATAAATACGAATGTACTAATTTCCCTCACCACTTCTGATTGCTATACTAATTATTTACTTATCAGAGCCAATCAAATTTCATGATCAGATAACATAAAAGAAAAATATAAAAATATAAAAATCACTCATAACTCTAAATTCAATCTATGGAAAATTAATAAATATATCCTGCTTTATGAATTTTAAACAGTCATTTGAAAAGTAGTTCTAATTTGAGTCTGTCTAATAAAACCTTGACAATTCCAAACTACTACTCATAATATATATTTTATTATACGATTAATAAATTTTATAAACTTATATTTAATATCATTACAGTGTATGTAATATTGATTTTTGACTATGCTACTCAATACTCTAGGTTAAGATATATAATTACTATTGAACCTCCCAAAACTGATCCTGTCAAAATTGATAACCTGCTAAATCTGATCTACTAAGTCTGTTCCTGCTATATAATCTAATAGCTTATAATATTTTCAAGTGTGTCTAAATTATTTTTGAAAAAAAGTATTTTCGACAAAATAGTATTTTTAACAAATATTTTGGCATTGCTAAATTTTTTATATGAAACCCTCTAAAATAACTATTCAATATGATGTATTTTGATGAAAAGAGTTCAAAAAATTTCAGAAATAATTTAGGCAAATATGAAAATTGATTTCAGCACTATATAAGATTAATTTCAGCTGCCTAAATGCTATAATTACTTTCTTATTAAGATGGGCAATTTAGGCACATATGTATACTAATACAAAATCTGTCTACCATATATATTAGTTTTGGGAGAGTTGGCAGTATATATAAATTTCTATTCTAATTAAATGCTAAAATGAATTAGATTATATGAAAAATAGGTTAGATGCGTTATCAAAATAGATCATAGGACTAAAAAGTTTAATACTAATTAATACAGTATATAATTTGGTAACAAAGTTTTAAATTTAAAAAACAAATACTTGTATTTGGTAATCGAATTTTAGCCTAATTTTCATAAATATACTGTAATATTAGTTCATGTTCAATAGATTGAATATTATATTGATATTACCTCTTAAAAAACTCATTTTCTATAAAACCCAAACTTAAGTGCAACAACACTAAATAGTATACGTTAGAGTGTTCAGATTTATGCGATTTTGGGAATTTTTCATTGTTTATGCAATGAAAATCTTTGAAATAGCATAAATCTGAATACTCTAATATACATATTCTCTATCAATATCAATTGCTCATATACTATCCAACCAAGCTGCAGAAATACAAAGTTAAATCTCTTTTATCGATTATCTTAATATTGTCTGGTCTTTCAATTTGATCATATCCTTATATCTAGTAGTTCTTATACATGTATACCTAAATTGCTCATCTTAATAAAAAATTATTACAGCATTAGTCAGCTGAAATTAGTCTCTCATACTTGTCAAAATTGTTACTGAAATTGTTGCTGAAATTGTTGCTAAAATTGTTGCTAAAATTGTTGCTAAAATTCTTTGAACTTTTTTTATCAAAATACGTCATATAGTATAGAGGGTTTTATATCAAAAAATATAGCAATGCCGAAATGTTTACTGAAAATACTTTTTTTCAAAAATAATTTAAGCATACATCTATAGTAGTTCTAAGTTAAAATCCTCTTTCATGCAACCATATTTTCATTATATAAGTGACGCCAAGTGAAAACCAGGAATTTTAAATATAAATTTCTTAAGACAATTAATTTGGACTTTTAAATAATAATAACTTGGAATTAAAGAAACGTTACAATTTTTAATATTCCTTTAATCTCATATTATTATCATTAAGAGCCCAAATTAATTGTTTTAAGAAATTTATATTTAGAATTCCTAGTTTTCACTTAGCGTTACCCATATATTATGATACTTAATAAAAACTGAAAAGTCTATACAATGATACTAAAATATAAATTAGTAACCAATACAATATACTATACGAGTGAAAATAAAACTTTGTAGCAGCCAAAATAACAATTACTAGTTGTTTAGATTGTTGGCTGAACTTCTATATTTTAAAATAAATATACTTTAAAAGCTACTATTCAAAGTTTCATTATATGTAAGTGACCTGATTATCTCACCAATTCTCTGATTACTTCATGTATAAACTCTTTTAAGTACAAATTATATGTTTATTAATTTTTATAGTCTTTGCATTTATCTATTGGTCTTTGTGTTATATTTTGTCTTAATTTATATATGATCTACTATTAATTCAATTTTAGGGTATTACACTGATTGGCGAATATGATGATAATAAAATAAAGGACAAGATCCTCTTGTAGAGAAAAAAAAATTTATGTAAAGATTTAGAAAAACTTAGAAGAAGAAGTATTACAGTTAACAGACTTACAAATATTAACAAAGTTGAATATTTTATTAGAAGATAGATCTTTTAGAAATGCTATTTTCAGAAATGAACCAAATATATATATTCAAAATAAAAAATTGCTTATTAGAAGACTTACAAGTATTAAACAACAAAGAAAGGTTATGAAAATAACTAACTCTAAAAAGAAAGCAAACAAAGTACTATTAATTTTCTTAGATCAAATTTGGATATATTTTTTCAAATGTCTATAGAAGTTTTAATATAAAATTATAATTGAATAGGAAAAAAAAACAATATCTTAGCAAGGGAAAAAAGGATAAAATGAAAAAAAAGCAAATCTAGACAAAGAAAACTATAAATTATCTAATGCAAAAAAGAAAAAAAAAAGAAAAAGAATTTGCTATTCAGGAGGAAGCGTGTAAAAGAATCAATAAATAGATTGTTTATAGTTCAAAGAAAGAGTGGTTATGACTTAAAATAAAATAAGAGATCTTGATAAAAGCTAGTAGTAGCTTTCTAAGGATTAGGAGTAAGTAGGTTATGAATATAACTTATTATTTTTATGAAAGAAATTGCTATTATAGCAGATTGTACTTAGGTACCTAAAAGTAGCTGAATGAGTCTAAAATTAGTATAAAGAAAAGTAATTTAGTATATAATATTTATAGTTTTTTACTCTGTAGTTTATTTAAGCTTTTTTTTAATAAATGATAGATAAGATTATATAAGTATAAAAAAAAAAAAAAGCAATATTAATATTCTATTAGTAATCAACTCTTTCTAACGATCATCAAAACTAAACTAATAGAACAACAAAAAAGTTATTTTTCTTTCACTACTACCTAATAAAGCAATTTAAAGTATCTGACTATATGAGAAATAAACTACGAAACTATGATAAGTTAAATGCAACAAGTTAGTTTCAAAGTTGTACTAGGCTTTTTGCTGTCTAACTTTAGCAAAACAACTTTAAGTTTGCTTAGTAGAAAAGTGCTAAAAGTAAAAAGAAGAAATAAAAAAGGACTTCAATTATGCTTGTGCTAGATCAAGCATACTATCACTCTCTTAGTTCTGTTTTTTTAAAGAACTACTCCTTATACCCTCGACAACTAGACTTTTGAATTTGGAATTGTTTTTCTTTGTTCCTTGACAACAAAAAATAAGGATTTGGTTTACTCTTGCTAAAAGATTAACATTCATACTATGTTTATTTTAGAAAAGTTATATTGGATACTACCAAACAATAACAATTTGTAAATATATATAGCATGTGTTTTGTGGTTAACTTCTGTTAACTGAATATTACGTGAAATTTGTGAAAGCCTTGTTTTGTTAAATTAGTACTAAGTAAACATATTAGAAATTGTTAATCAAAGAGATATATACATAGATAGCAACTAGTATATATAATTTTTAAAGATAGTACTTGCTTTTAGGCTTACCTTTAAGTAGAACTACTCTGGGTTTTTTTTCCTTTTTACATCAAAAAAAAAATTTCATTTCTTTTTCTTTTTTGTTTTTTTTTTGTTTTCTTTTTTATCTACTTATTGCTAGTATAGTTTTTTACTTGTTAGCAAGTTTTTCTATATAATACTTATGTTTTTATAGCATATAGCTTTATACTTTTTATTATCTGTAACAATTTTTTATTTTTTTCTATCTTGAGACTAGGTATTAATAACTTTTAGTTTAGTCCTAAATTAGATTAAAA